ATTTTTGTTTGTTTTTCTTCTTGTTTCATAACTTTGGACTCAGTTGTGTGATTAATGAGATTTCTGACAGTTCAGTTTGTGTAGATTTCTGTTTTTTTTTTTTTCAGTTTTGTTGTGATGTTTTTTATTGTTGTTTTGTTATAATTTGTGTTTGTTTGTTTGTTTGTTTGTTTGTTTGTTTGTTTGTTTGTTTGTTTGTTTGTTTGTGTTTGTTTGTTTGCAGCAGTCCTGTGCTCCTCAGGTTGATGTGAATCATCCAGCTTCAGTCAGAGTGATTAATCTCCTCTGACAGGAGGTCAGAGGTCAGCCTCACGTTCTAAAAGCTCTCGTTGTTCTGAGCGGTTCCGACCCGTTCAGAACAATGCTGTGGTGTTTTTACAGCCTGCAGGACCTCAGAGCCGTGGGCTGAACGCTCACATTCACCGCTGTAAGTGAACGCAGCGTGGGCGGACCGRCCGACCCGGGTCAGCTCTCTGGAGAGTGGGCCGAGCCCACAGAAACCTTCTGCAGCAGCTGAGCTCGTTAACGAGCAGCTTAACGAGGCTCACCTGTCAGCAGGTAAACAGCTGCAGCACCAGGATTAATCAAAACAAGACAAACAAATAAAACCATCAAATAAACACAAGGAAATAAATGTTTTAATGTTTTAGATCAAATCTGACTCCAGCCTTCAGCTCTTCCTGTTTTATGTTTGTAAGTTTTCTCTCAGTCAGGCTGTCGGCTCTCACTGACGATTTAACTCCATGCTAACATTTTAACGCCTGCAGGCCGTCTGCAGGTCCAGACCCAGACCCAGAACCAGAACCAGAACCTGTCAGAGATGAGGGTCTCGGATCATTTGGATCAAACACTTAAAGGATTTCCTGTCTTTGAGTCTCAGCTTGACTTCATTGAACTCTGTGAAAACAACCTGCAGAAACATGAAGACCAACAAACTGTCATCTTCCATCATCTGCAGCTCCTGAGGTTTGTTTTTACAACACACCAACACAAACTCACTGGTTTTCAGCTCTTTAAACCAGCCGGTGCGTTCAGGGACCCTCCTGTCAGCTGCCAACACAAACCTTCASTGTTTCTTCAGTCATTATTAAACGTTTAAATTGTTTAAAAGTTTTGATGACTGTAGAAGAAACATTATTTCTCCTGGAAACTTTTGATTAATTCTGCTTGTATTATTTTATTAACTTTAAAATTAAAAATGATGTGACATAAACAAATTAGGATAAATTAAGTTTCTGATCCTGTCATCCACAAACAACATTTTTAAATATTTTTCATTTAAATATATTTCTATACTTATTTTCCATGCTGGAAAAGAGATTGAATAGATAAATTGTTGTAACTTTCTGGGTTTAAGAATGAAACTACGACTAAACTGACAAAGTTTTACTGTTTTTAGAGCCCTGAGGAGGATCAGTTTAAATATTCTTCTGTTCAGGAATTCTCTGAGAGCTGCTCCTCTGAAAGGATTTGATCTTGGATCCCGTCCAGAACAGCATCTAAGACCAAATCCTTCACTTCCTGTTAACATAATGACAGATCAGTTCAAATGTTAAAATACCTGAGTCATGTTCAAATGTTAAAATACATGAGTCATGTTCAAATGTTAAAATACCTGAGTCATGTTCAAATGTTAAAAATACCTGAGTCATGTTCAAATGTTAAAAATACCTGAGTCATGTTCAAATGTTAAAATACCTGAGTCATGTTCAAATGTTAAAATACATGAGTCATGTTCAAATGTGATAATACCTGAGTCATGTCCAAATGTTAAAAATACCTGAGTCATGTTCAAATGTTAAAATACATGAGTCATGTTCAAATGTTAAAATACATGAGTCATGTTCAAATGTTAAAATACATGAGTCATGTTC